CATCCAGATTTCCAATTTCCACTGTTGGAAATGTCTTTAGGAAAAGGCAGTTAAAGGAAATTGTGGAATCCAAGGCATGACTGGGAAGATCAAGTAAATTTTCAGATTTAAAAAAATGCACTACGGCACAGCAGAAAGTAAAAGCAAAGCCTCCATGTGACTGCAAAGGTGCTGCACGACAGCAGCAGGTTCTACATGAAAAAGTCATCAGACGTAAACCTCATCTGCAGCTTTATCACAAGAGTCAGTGTCTGCCGTTTGCAAATCAATATTTGGATAATGAGGTATTTTTTCTCTTTAACCACGAGCAGGGGTCTCAAACTCAACGCACTTGGGGGCTGCTGGAGGTAGAGTCTGGGTGAGGTTAGGCCGCATTGAGTGTTCCACAAAAAAAGGGTTTCAAGTATTTAAAAAAAAAAAGTACAACTGAGCCAATCTTCTCAATCTTTCTTAATAACAACTCAGAACATGAATGGTTCTTCAGAACACAGGCTACTCTTACCTACTCCTTTACTGCCAGACACACCGCTGAGCCACATTTGGCTTGACGGAGGAGGCAACTGAGACCCTCAGTATGGCCTGAAGATGCTCATCAGTAAGTTTGGACCTGTACTTTGACTTATTAAAGTTCATGGTGGAGAAGAGCTTTTCACACAGACAGAAAAACAAAACAAAACAAAAATAAACATGCATTTGCACTGGAGGCACACAGCTGATAAAAAAAATGTGAAGCGCCCAGGGCAGCAACTCGTGCAGAACACTAAGCTTTGATGTCAAGTAGGGGGCCACAAAATATCCTCCCAATTGAGGCCCATGAGCCACGAGTTTGAGACCCCAGCACTAACGGTGTGTTTGGAGGGAAGAAGGTGACAGCATTTGATGAAAAAGCTACAAACTGGAGACACTGTAAACATAAAGGGATGAATTACTCTAACAAAATATCAGCAAATTCTGCAAACGTCATGCAGTCAGAAACTCAAAAGATCCAAAGCAGACCTCAAAAATCCCCACAAACTCCTTCAAGAAATGCAAACTGAAGCCCTAAAAACAGCCTTCACAGTCCTCTGATTTAAACATCAGTAAAAACCTGTGAGGAGATTTGAAACATGCTTCCTGTCTCCCAAAAATGGTTTTATACCACCAAACTACACATAGTTTATGTTTTGAGGGAAACATATTTTCAGCCACATTACAATCGTTTGTGACGTATCACAGATTTCACTTGAAAATATCTTCACGATAAGCCGGTTTAACATTTATTTGGTAAGTCAGACGATCTGGAATTCAGTTGAACAGATATCAACAACTATCCAATAACTTCAAATTATCACCTCCTCCAGACTGTCAGCTGGTTGTAAACTGATAAGCCAACAATAGCCAGAGAGCAAACTTCGATCTTTCTTTGCTTCCTTAATAAATCAGGCACAGTTGCTTTTAAAGAGTAACAACACAACGTTACAAAAACATCCCCTGACAGACGTCACATTTGATCTTCATTAAAGCCATGTTTTTTTCTCTCATTAGCAAGCCTCTCCTTAAACAAGTTGTCATTTTAAGTCACAATATGACAAAGTGTGGAACTTTAGGGAAATAAGGAAGAGGGACAACAGCCATAAAATGTAAATCACTAAAATCTAACAAAACAATTAAGAATAATCTTGCTAAAAATTTAAAATGAAGGGTCTTACTGCAGCAAAAACTCTACATGCACTCAGTAATACTGTCTTCATCCACAACCTGCCCCAGACAAAAATCTGTCTGTGAAGATTCTCAGTCATCCAGGTCATGGTCATTCTGGCAGAACAATCGTAGCATCTGGACTTGCTTGAAGACGTTCCACCTCTCATCCAAAAGGCTTCATCAGTTCTGACTGACTCGTTGGGAGTTCCAGATAATATATCCTAAAGGACCCATTAACACCTGAGTTTCGGTTGTAATTGGGGGTTGTTACTCCTCCTCTCGTTATGTGAGTTGTTAGTGCCCCCCCCCTGCCACAAAGGGGTTCGTTAGGGTCTTTTGTGGCGAGGTGTGGATCTTCCTGGGGAGAGATCTTAGGACTGGATTGTACACAGGTGAGAGGTGACGCCTCAGACCTCCACCTCTGTTGAGGGATGGTCTTTCCAGTTTGACACAGATTGCTTCTTTCACCCCTCTCTTAGACAAAAACACATGAATGCATTATCTTTGTGAGCACAGAAAGAAATGGAATAAAACCCCAATTATCTTCCACACTGCAAAAAAAAACAGCCTCATCTTTTAGCTACTGAAAGGACTTTGCAATGGAGGTTGTGTTTTTATTACTATTTGTCTGTCAGAAGGATTACACTAAAGCTTCTAAGCCAATTTTCATTCAACAGTCTGCAGCCCAGGCTGGAGGTTACCTGACGGTTCCACTAGAGGTCGCTGCTGCGCTACATTCCAATCAAGATGAGACACTGTTGGCCAGCATTACTGCTGCATGTCTGGTTGGAGATCCTGAAGATGATTTGTTGGTTTTTAGTCGTGTTTGCATTACTGATGGCAAACTTAGAATAGTTAACTCGTGTGTCTTTCCTTCTTCGTGAGGTCTTTTTTGATCTTATCAATGCATTACTGATGATGCCTTCCCTGTCAAAAACATAATAACATGTCCATATAGAGTTTATTTATAGGCTTGAAGACACATCTTTAGTGAAACTGAGGCTTGAAACTGCACTGTACTCATGATCAAGAGCATGAATTCAGAGTTTTTTCTGCTTTAGAATGAGTTTCTGGTTTGCATTTCGTAGCGTAAAGTAGCTTTATAGTATTTAAAGACAGTTGTAGGTGAGCTGGTGTGCTTGAGCTGCAGCGAGTGGCGGGTGGACGAAGAGAGAGGAGAGGTCTACAGAGGTACATCTAAACTATTACGGGATTATTTTCATAGAAAATCCCTCTAAATAACAAAAAAGTAACCGTGGGGCACAGAGACCAGTTTTCAGGGACTAACCAGCTGATGAGCTGAACTGATTGGTGGGTTTATGATCTGGTACTAATCTGGTCAGCTGGTCAAATGAGAAATAACTATTACCTTTAGATAACTTTCTTAGATGAACTTCACTGATCCACAAGGGCTCAGTAGCACAAAATCAATAATTATATCAGAATATACAAAAAATGAAATAAAAGTAAGAAGTAAAAAATCAAGCAGGAAAAAAAAAAGATTTCCATATGTACAAATTATAATTTTACAGTTCTTGTTTTGTTTTCCTAATCAAATCCTAACATATGTAATAACAATAAAACTACAGAGTTGTTAAACTTTCAGAACAGACTGATTGCAATAGGAAGTGTCGGTTTCATCATGAAACCAAACATATAAAAGTAAAGTGTTCAGAGGTTTCTTGTATCTGAGCAATCTACCACATGACAGTGTTTAGATTACAGCAAACTATTACTGAATAATCTGGTCCTAAGCTGTAATGATTGAGCATTATAAACCAGTTCATGGTGTGGGGCCAGTAGAAACCATAGACTGTATATGCAGTCTGTGGTAGAAACACTGGAGCAGGTTGAAGATGTGAGGTTTAAATATAGAAAAACAATCACGTGACACTAATGAGGTAATAGGATCAAATGAGCAGCAGACTTCAGATGATTTGGGCATCAGACCACCGATAATCATGAGAAGCGGTGTCTTCCCCTCCAGACACCTGTTCGTGTGATCAGCTGCCGGACTGACATGAGTCCCCTTTAAGAGGAAGCAGACCTGAGGGGGGGAGTGAAGCAAGAGCCGCCACTTCCTCGTTACCCTCACAATCAAAACATTATTCGTGCGCAATGGGTGAGACCGCATCCCCGGAAGGACGTTTTCTAATCTAGCAGGGTGCGCACATTGTCCAAAGCTCCACTTAAACCGCGTCCGCTCCAAGCATGCTGCAGCTCAACGACACGATGGAGCCGGAGAGCCCGGGCGCCGCGGTCCTCCACCCCGCAGACACCGAGGAGGGGGTCGAGGTCGCCTTCACGCCGCCGGAGGCCGGACGGAGCCTCGGACACGGAGCCGCCGTGGCCTGCTGCCCCCCGCTGCAAACGCTGACGCCCTTCCATGTGCACAACCCCACGATGCAGGCGAAAGTGAAGGACTACTTCGTGTTCAGGGTAAGTAGTTCCGTCCGTACAGCGGCACCGATCGAGGGCCCGTTTGTTTTGTAATTAGACCACATGCATCTCTTCAAAAAACAACGCTCTCAGTGCAATGCAATCAGCCCCAGTGAGGCATCACCAGCAAGGCAGGCAGGCAGGGAGGGATGGGACTGAGCTGGCCTGTGTGAAGGGGATGCTGATGACTGACAGTTGTGTGATGCTGATCTCAGCCAGGTACCATTGAGCAGGCTGTGAGCGACATCAGGACTGTGGCCCTTCCATCTGAGGATGGAGAGGTGCTCAGCGTCTGGCTGCTGGCAGAGTGAGTATCCCAGCAGCATGTGACTGTTTATTATCAGCCGGAAACATGAGGATTGCACTGCTGTGTGCGCTGTAGGAACCGTGCACAAGCAAACACAGCAGCACATGAGGAGAGCTCAGCTGGAGATGTGTTGTTGAAGCTGCAGAGCAGTTGGTGTTGTTGCATGAGGAGGACAGGCTTCAAACTCTGCTGCTTCAAAAAGTTCTATTTGGGAATATTGTGTTGCATAATATATAGAAATCTCAGTTTTGGATGGATTATTAAAGCTGTGTGTTAACTAGGGATGGACCGATGTGTTTTATTGTTTTATTTTTTAAGTTTTTTTTTCTTTAGTTCAGATACAAATGCTGATTATTGGTAATCAAGAAAGGCCTGTAACTGATATTTGGAACCAATATTAATTAAATTCTGACAGCATAGAAGAGAACCTGTCATTCATAACTAGGCTTCTTCATTAACAAGGGTGACTATAACTGAATATGTGAAATAGAAATATGAGTGATTAAATTGAGGCACTCTCCTCTGTTTATGTGGCATCAACTAAGATTGATCAGTTTGTCTTCTGCACTTACGTCTGATGTTGGTCTCTAGTTTCTTCATCTTTCACTGTTCTACCACTTTGAACCCTTTATAGGGTAATCCTTGAAATACTTGAAGGATGAAAATTTCCACCCTAGGGTGTTATTGAAAGATATTTTTACTTTTTTGACTTAAAAAAAGTTGCAAATCAAGATTAATAAAGTTAACATATATGGTAACTTGCCCGTCTGTGGTTAAAAAAAAGAAAAGGGAATTTATAATAAATAAAAGAAAAAGTAACACTCTGCAAAAAACATTTATTTAGAAGCTTTTTAGTTTGAGGTGTAATGATACACAACCAGTGATAAAGTAGTTATAAAGTGTAACATTTTTCTTGGGGTGGTGGTATTAGTGGCACTAATCTCAAAAAATCAACATGGAGTTCAATGCGAACCAGTAACAAAGTGTTTATAAAGGTCCTGGAACATTTGTTTAGTGACATTTTTGTAAGGTAGTGATATTGGCACCAATATAAAAACTAAAAGTGCACATGGTTCTTCTACCTCAAGGACAGGGTGGACATAATGAACGTCCAAGGAAGTTATCGTATATGATCACTTGGCCCATAAAGGGTTAAAGCCCACTGAGGTCCATATCTTTAAACTTTATTAATTATTATTTTCCAGCCTCTGTTTCAGGTTAATCTGCCTTCTAACTTAGCCGCGAGCCATTAGCACAACCTTATCCAATGTGAGAGAAGCTAATTTCCTGGTTCGTTGCAACAGCTTGTGTTTCTTGTTCACTTCTCTGCTTGAGACATTTGTGAGACCACAGAGTGACGACAGACAGAGAGAGGAGGCTGCACCAGAGCTGAAGTAGCGTGTTTCATTTATCAATAATCACTCAGTAATTTACCAATACTGATAATTGGAAAAAATGCCAAATATCAGCTACGATAATGAGCCAGGTCGGTAATCGGTCCATCCCTAATGTTAACAGTGATGTCTGTTACACAAAGAGGCCGAGGTTCATATTCTGCTGTTTAAAAAGTTGCCAACTTTGTGTGCGACTTCTCCAGAGTGGACCACTGGAACAACGAGAAGGAGCGACTCGTGCTGATAACCGATAGGTGAGTGGAAAAAGCAAACACTTTGATGAACTGTAATCTGTAGCTGGTGTCGTTTGACGTTGTTGACGTGATTCCAGGTCCCTGCTGGTGTGCAAGTACGACTTCATCAACCTGTTGTGTCAGCAAGTTGTCAGGATCTCTCTCAACGCCGTAGACACCATCTCAGTGGGCGAGTTTGAGTTTCCACCCAAATCCCTCAACAAGTACGTCGACACGTTTTCGTCTACCGATTAATGATTAGTGATTATTTGGTGTTGGAGTTACACGTGTGGCTTGAATGTTCAAAAAATATTGCAGCTTAAACAAAGTTTAAATGGTAATAAATTAGTAATAAAAGCTTGATTTGTGTGGATAGAAGTGTTTAAAAAAGGATGTACAGCAAAGAAGAAGATAAAGAGTGGTAAAATACTGAACGAGAAGGTAAAAAATAAGGAATAAAAACACTTTGGATTCATAAGTGGGTTTTGTCTGTCACCATGCATGCTTTAGCTCGGTGGCAGCACTCTGGTGTCCTGCTGGCCCGCGTTTGTAGCTAATTCTCAGACTGCTGTGTTGTCCTACAGAAGGGAGGGCTATGGGATTCGTGTCCAGTGGGACAAACGTCCTCGTGCTTCGTTCCTGAACCGCTGGAACCCCTGGTCCACAGACATGCCCTACGCCACCTTCACAGAGCATCCCATGTCCCACGCTGATGAGAAGGTGGCCTCTCTCTGCCAGGTACGATCCGTCTTAGCTGCATGAGCAACAGATTATTAGAGTTTTTGAAGTACTGCAAGTTGAGCTAAAAGGCAAACAATGGTGACAAAAAGCAACAACAGCTCTAATGGGTACAGACCAACTGAGCACAATAGTCTGATTTCTGCTTTAAAGTCACAATTACTTCTTTGACAGAAAGACGGTTATTCACACAGCTTACGTACTCGTGACTTTGTGTATGAACAGTTATTTTCAAAGCTGTTCTTATTGGCACGGCTACAACAGCACCTGGGGCAATTTTCTGGGGACGTTTTCTCATTCAGAGCCATTAACGTAGTTAAAAGCAGTAAATGGAGCTCATTTGGCTGTAAAGTCTCAATTGTATCCATTATTCCACATTTGTGAGCGGCTCCAGGAGACATCATCGAGGCCTGGTTTTATAAAAAGTACAAATTGTAAAGAAAAAAAGGTGTCACTCTTTTTTTTCCCCCCCTCTTCCTAAGATGGACAACTTCAGAACCCAGCTGGTGCAGGCGGTGAAGAAAGCCCATAAAGAGCATCCCATCCCCGGTCGGGCTAACGGCGTCCTGATCCTGGAGAGACCCCTGCTCATCGAGACCTATCTGGGCATTATGTCCTTCATCAACAATGAAGCCAAGTTGGGCTACTCCATGACGCGCGGCAAGATCGGCTTCTAAATTTTTCTCAGTTTGTCCAAAATTACAACCCATGTGTCTGTGTTACAGTGCACTGTCTGAGGGAAGCTGCAGTGTGATGTGCAACCTGTCTGTCTGTGTAAGTTGAGCCCATGAGACGTCCACACCTCCGTAAGTCGGTGTCATAGACAAGTGGTCAGCCTGCTGTAGGTCAATGATGGCGCAGCGCTGCATGGACCGTCTACCCAATTGGTTTTTTTTGTGCCCCCAGTTGCTTTCCATCAAAGAGCTGCACACAGATCTGCACCCAGGTAGGCCTTCAGGAGCGTACGCCGATCTGACCTACGCTGGAGATGAAGGACAAGCACTTTTAGATCGAGCTTCTCGTAGTCTCATGCTTCTTGTTTAACCATTGAATGGCAGACTGTCAAAACGAACGTGACATTTAGATTTTGACAGAAGAACGCTCTCATTTGGGTTAAGTATGTGCTTTTGTTTGGGCTTTTTTCTGCAGCCGCCGTGAGGTGAAACTATAACATTAGCCAAGAATATGTTCCGTATTTGCTACATGACTTGGTTTGAAATGAAGGATATCATTATTCAGATCATAAAGCCATAGGGTAGCGTCTTGGAATGGAAAAGCAGCAGACAGATGGAGCTTAACAGTCATGTCACGTGATTATTGTAATAAATGTTACAATAGGAGAACTGGGATGGAAGAGGATAGGATTTGTACTGCTGCTGTGCTGCAAAGCTCTGGGCTCAGCTTTGTTACCTTTACAGGTGGAATACATTTATCAGCATCCATGAAACTTGTTTAGTGGAAATGCTAAATTACATGTTGAGATCCTCTCTGTCTATTTGGCCAATGTTTCGTTCTCCGTGTCTATATTTATACTTATGACTTTACTCAGAGTAGTGAGCTGCTGTACCACTTGCAGAGCTGCATTAGCTCCCATAGCAGAACTGTATGTCTCAGATGTTTTATGCAATGTGAACATGTAAACCACGTCTTTACGTTTGTAAATTGCCTTAATTGTACTGCAACTTTCGTTTGTTTTACGCATACATTTGCACTCAGCTTTGCATTGGTTCGCTAACCATATGTATACTGTTAATAGGATTTAGGCGGTTTTGCTCCCAAAGCTGCACCCTACAATACATTATTGTCCAACCAAAGGTTACACACCACATGTCCACGCTCAACGATGCCAACAAATTGTGTCCCAAAACCCCCTTTTTTCTGCTCTTACTTGTGCATGTTCTCTGCACGTTAAGTTTGCATGACCGATGTTTTTAAAAAGAATATCCTAAGTGAATTTGTAAATACTGATCGTTTTATTTATCTGCAGTTATTTTGATGCAATTAACTCATAAATGCTTCTAGAAAAGGAATATTTCCTCTCGCCAGTTCTGGAATATTTTATTTAGAGAGATCAGTGTGTTATTGGAAACATGTGGAGACTTGACTTTATGTTCTAAATATTTGTAGCACAGTAGCCACATTGGAAAACAATAAATTCCTACATGTCTTTTTGTCAGGGCTGCACTTCTCACAGATCGTTGATACAGAAGTGCATTTGGATTACACTCGTACTGTCAAGGAAGGTACAGTTCAAACGGCTGTACAATTCAGGCTTTTAACAGTTGGGCTAGCATACAGACGGATGATGCCTTGAGGCCAACAGACATGGTCCTGATCTATTTGATACTGCCTGTTAATATATTGTTTGGATTCTTACTGAGACTTCTGTTTTGCCATAGCAGGTAACGACTTACATTGTACAGGTAATGATGCAGCATTTGCAGGTGAAAGGTGATGCAACTCGTGTCATGAAGAGCTGCTTTAAAATTTACCATTGAAAAACCCCGTCTCGTGTCTTTGTTCATCATCCTGCGCCACTGAAACAAGCATTACGAGTTCTGTTTTGTGTGAAGGTTGCTCAGCTGTGACTCAACTTTTGATCAGTGCACACATACTAATAACTCATCCTAAGAAGCATTATTTATGACAAAATTTATTCAAAATAATTACAATTTCATGGTAATACATATACAAAATAGCAAGACTACAGTGAAATCTATAAAATTTTGTAAACTTTTATATTCTCACAGTGTTTGCAACTAGTGCTTTAGTACATTCTTATTTATTAAAAAAAGAAAAAAAAGTGACATCTATTAAAATGAGCCATTCTGGAGTGATGTCAGGTTATCAATGTTCTTAGCTTGACAAGAAACGGAACGTCCCAGTAGCCTTTAAAACTTGGCGAGCAGCTCCAGTCCAATTTACGTTTTTAGGAGTGTTGCTGTTGGTCCCTTGGTCTTCACCTGAGCACAAGCACGTCTGGCTAAATAAGCCTGAACTCTAATCCAGTTATTCCTAAGATGTGTTTTTGGTTGGTTTACTTGTCCTCCTGGTCAGTGTCCATGTAGCACAAACACAGCTGGTCCTTTCCGAGCAGGATCAGAGAGTTTCCGCTGCAGTGCCAGTTCAGGGACTGGACTTGAAAACCACCTGGCAGGAGGAAAACAAGGGTGACTGTGATGACATAACACATACATATGCAGATCCAAAGTGTTGTTTATAAACCCCCAAAAAAGTTTCATACATGGAGAATTTTAGTTTCAGTGGTTTCTAAGTAAAATACACACACCTTTCAGGTTAGAACATGTAAGGCAGCAACACAGATGCACATCCCACATGTAAAAACTATTGTAGCACAGATTGGTTGTATTTGAAAATTTAAAAGAGCAAATACAGATTTTTGACTTTATACTGCTCTGCCGCAAATTAATTCTGCAGCATGACGGTGACTCCAAACGTACAGCCGGAGTCATAAAATTAATCATTAGTGACAAGAAAAGCAACGAGTTCTGCATCAGATGGTCTGAACCCCACAGAGCCTTGATGTCAGTTTCAGTCTGGGGTTACATAAAGACACAAAAGAAACTAAGATATAAAAAAGATTATTGATAAATAGAAATGATTCAGGGGCCTATTTTGACAGCATCCTCCCTTTACCTTTAGTGCCTAATGCTCTTTCATCTCTTCTACTTTATATTCACTCTTTCACTAAATCTCCCCGAAGAACAGAAAAGCACTTGAAATGTTTTGGTCCACTCAGCAGGCGGGGTCCTCTTATTTCTTCGACAGGTTTAACATCATTAATTGAGTACACCATTGACTTTTCCCTGGCCGAAGGAACGCGGGGATTTTAAAGTCAGCTAGGCTTTTACTCCATTGTGTCGATTTTAAATTTTGTGAATTGCTGGTTTGAGGCCTTTTTTTTACCCTTTTTGTCCCTTTAATCCTTTACAGTTTGGTAAGGTTTAATATTAGGCTAAATGTTGGATTTTTGCTTTTGCCGTTATTATCCAATGCACAGAGAGCGCTACTGCAAGAGTTCCCAATGAAAAATAAATAAAGACTAAATGAAAATTCCGTTATTAGGTATGGTCTGTCTTCTTGCACATGAAAAAGCAATTTAAGAGTGAATGAAAAAACAGCAGTGAACTAACGTCCTACTACATGATTTTAGTTTTTCTTAATTTATTAGTCTTCAAAACTAAAATAGAGACTCTGAGCTGCCACCATGCAGAAGCTGTCTTGTGCAGCTTACATAAAAATAATACAAAGGTTCGTTAGAGAGCACAGGTCCTTTCCTACATTTGAGAACAATATCAGGAGCTGTGTCCTCTAGTTACTTGACAGTTCTAATTCTTGGTACCAAAGCCACTTACCTTCAGTGGGGACCTGAACAGAAACACAGCCTCCTGGGGACCAGAGATAGAGTTTGGTGTTGCCTGTACACAGAGCCAGCCGGGGACGTTGAGGGTCCCACTGAAAGCAACGTACGGCCGATGTCTGCTCCAGCACGGCCTCCAGGCTCATCTTCTGCATGTCCCACACCCAGACAGCAGTGGCCATGTTGTCTAGGATAGAAGACACGCAGATACACATCCAAAGCCACTCTTGCCATTGTTAAATCGAATACAGTGAAGGTGGTATAGTGGCATTGTCAAGTCTTACCATTTTTGGTGGCTAGATAGCGACTGTCTGAGCTGAATGCCAAAACAGAGATGCCAATCTTGGGGTTGGCTCGGTCTGGATCTGGTTTAACCACAGGGATTTGGACCGGCAGCGGGCAGATCTCATCTGGATAAGACACCAGCAATTCAGAGTTTGTGATCAGGAAACTTTAGTTAACTGCTGAATTTAAAATGTACACTGCTGACTTACATTTGCTCTGGGTGTTGAAGAGGGTGGTTCCCATTGTGATGCTGTGTAGCGACATTTCATCACTGCCAACACCTGGCCTTTTCTCCACTTCCTTATACACCGTCTAGAAACACAACAAGCAGCGAACAAACAGTAAATAATCTCACTAAAATGCCCTCAAGGTTCATCCTGTAGGAAGAAAAATACTCACAGCTTTTGTGTTGTCGATAACTGCAGGGTGCTCCAACTGTGTGATTTTCTTCCATGTGATGTGATTGAGGATGCGAACCTGACACAAAGGTATGAACGTTTTTTTGTCATTAATATCGTGATTGCACCAGAAATTCCAGTCAAGTTAAACACATGTATGAAACTGTTCATTTCTAATCTTCTGTATTTGCAGAAATGAATAAATTCATTTCTTCACGAGAGCTCTGCCAGTTTCACACATCAAAGTCTGTTTGTAAACCAAGTTGTGTGAGGTTCTGATGGAACTGAATGAAATCAGTGAGAAGTCTTAAAGATGCGATCATCAGTAATGCAGCAATAACGTTTCAAGAGACTGCGCATACTTTTTCATCATAGCTACCAATGGCCAGGAACTGGCTGCTCGGGCTCCAGGACACAGACTTGACACCCAGCGACCACTCATAGGCACTGTAGGTTGACAGCAGCCGGCCGTCCAGAGAATACAGCAACACTTTGTACTGTGGACAGGAAACACACACATGAAACAATAGTACCGACAAGAGGGCTTTTTTTTATTTCTAGTACATAAGTGTAGGAGCCATGAATAAGCTGAAATACACAGAGAATGATTTTATATTACTAATATTACTTTGATATAATTTATATTAATGTTAAGTGTTGTTTGGTGTCATTATTGTTAGTTATTTGTATAATTATGATTATTTGTTGGGAGCTGGTCACATGGTACAGGGTTGGGAAGTTTATTTAGGTACCTGCTCACCTGTGTGTATGCAGTTGGTGAAGGAGAGGGTGAGTGGGATGCCGTACTTTTTGTTGACCGCAAGCTTTGATTGCTGTGATTTTAATTTTGTTATATTTTGTGCACGTTATAGTAAGTTGACCTTTTTTCATTAATACACTTTTGAAACGTTTTTTGGATCTCAGCGAATCTTTTGTACAGCGTGTCGGCCAAAGAGCACGGCCCAGCTTCATCCACTCAGTGCTATTTAGTTTGTTTTTTATGAAGTCACTACAATAAGTGTGGGAGTTTTTCAGTAGATGACAGCTTCATAAACAGGCACACTAGTCGATCGTCTTCATAGTTAAATTTTATGCTGTCACTACTTATCAGCAACATTTGTTTATCTGGGATTCCTTCAATTTAACTTACAGATGCTGGTGGGTATCTGATGTTGTGACGTTCCAGTACAGTATGGAGTATATTTTCTCTCTCGTTAGACTCTTGTACTTTTATAACATGATCATTTACAATGAAGGGATCAGTAACATATTGTCTTACCTGTATCTATGCCTACACATGTTCTGTTCCTAAAGCCTCCCAAACAAGCCAACAACAACAACAACAACAACAACAACAACAACAAAGGACCAGAATCATTCCCATATTGAACTAACCCATATCACTTCACTAAAAGTATACTTCCTCATATGGACACTTACTTATTTATAATATATTTTATGATATTAAAAGATGGTGCACGTACAAAACAAAGTTAGTGTTTAAAAATGTGGTCATCTGCTTTAAATGTGTCTGCTTCAGTTTCTGTCTCCAAACATGGACCTTACATGGAGAGCACATGGAGCACAAGGCTACCGCCCAACTAAGCCATCAGCATCGTTAATCTTTCCTATTGTATTATTGAATTATGATTCTGAAAAGCAACTGACTCACCTCCAGACAGCTGTCCCACACTGCCAGCACACAGCCATTGGGGGACCACTCCAATCCTGCCAGGTCCTGTGTCTCAGTCTCAAAATGCTGTGAAAGTGTTAAAATATAACTTTAAATTAATTTAGTTCTGTCTGCATAACAAAAAAAAAAAAGCAACTAACTTTTCTTTGCACTAAATCTAGGACAGTCAAGACAATAGTTCAGAAGTCTTCACAACAATAAAAGGAAACTACTGATGCTGCCAAGTTTGAATCAAGAGAATTTTATTAGTATCACGTGACATCTCCAGTAATGAAAGTTTACTCTTCATCTTGACCAAAAACAATTTTAAAAATATTTATTTACTTTTATTTTTTCATTGACTGTTGCTGCAAATTATGTTTGACATGTTTTACTAAATGATGCTTATCCTGGCAGAGCTTAAAATGTCAGAGTATTGTGTGCATGTTGCTCCAGTGTTGTTCTTCTTGGTGGTGAGGAGGTCATGGAGTACGTTGATGCACACACACACACGTAATAGCAGTGCTGCCACACTACACACATTGTTTGGGAAAGGCTTCAGGAACATGGGGAAGAGTTCAAAGTCTTGCATAATATTTCGGTTCATTAGTGGACATCTTTTTGACAATCTAAATGAAGGTTTATTCCACTTCCCTATTTCAAATAACTCAAATGTTAGGGGCATTTAAACGAGCATACAATCAAAAGAAAAAGCAATTTCCTACTTACCCTGAGTAAGTGCCAGTCGTCACACACAAACACACAAACATAGTCTTTGCAGTCACGTCGCTCAGCCAAGGCCATGTAGCGCCCATCTCTGCTGAAATCTACACCTGTGGGTGAAAGATGATGGGAGAAAGCTACAGTTACACAGAAAACTCCTGGTTATGGCAAACTATCTAAAGTCCACACAAGATCAGATTTTATGCAACTTGATGCTTTCAACTTAAATTATATTATTTACTGCTTGCCAGCTCTGTCAAACTGAATTAGGAAATTACACAAGTTCAAGATGCAATTTCCTATTTAATGTCTGACCGTAGAAATGTGAAAGAAAGCTGAATTGTTCTGGACTTGTTATGTAACAGTGCATCCGTATGTAATTTTGTTAGGGTTTAAAAGTATGTCTGGAGGCACAGCCAGCCCTTGGGCATTTCTTACATTATCAATTCGTACCACTTCAGTCAAATAGTGCTCAGCTACAGCATATAATTACACCAAGGAAAAAGATCTTATAATGAAAAGTACTCCATAACAGCCACAACGACCCAACGAATAAAGTCATATTCAATATACACATTTATCACAGTTGCAATTTTCCAATTTATTCAATCTTCAAAACTTCATCTGTCTAAGTTTAGCCACAGCAACAGAGAAAATAAACACAATAATAAACATTTTCATCTTTAATTTAAAAAAATAAATAAATAGTCTACTGGTTAGAAAAAAAGGCTATTCTGAATACTGAACCTCGTGGCTTCCTGTGTATTTCATCCATTATAATTATCTTATTCTTTGGCACCATCGAGTCTGTGGTATGCAGCTATCATGGCCATATTATTTATATGACAGCTCAGAAGATACACAGGTCGCAGAAGGGCATAGTATTGCATGTGGAAAATGGGGAGAGTCACAGACAATCATTTTTCCACTAGTTGCTGACAGGCCTGTTATGAGGAGCATGCCCCATTTACTGAAGAGGGGCACAGCTGTCAGCAGAGAGGACCACAGTTCGGCCTCGTATCCTGGGCTGTGCCACAAGATAAAGAACGGCATGTTATTCATGGGGCACGGCAAGGCATTTAGACGGCTGGCCGTGTCCTCAGGTACTCTGGTATACACATAATATCGCTCTCATACTCACCCTTTTGACAGGCTTTGGGATACTTGATGTAAGACACGGCTTTGGTGCACAGGGACCAGACGGTGACTCTCAGCTGTCACAGTGATAAAATGAAAGAAGGAAAAGAAATAGAATTATCTTGGAGTGAAATGATGGCGAAACACCACAGTGCCAGGCAGTAGAAAGAGCATAAAAAGATCCGCTCCGTTTACTGCCATGAAACACTCCAGTTTGTATGAGATCTATAAGTCTATCGATCCTCAATGAGAAGGTGACAACTGATGCATATAGCTAGTGGGAGGTCAATGAATTACCCAGGGCATGAGCCTAACAGAGGCCTGTCATTGTTTCTCTACACCCAAATCTATGTCTATCAGCTGCAGATCCATTCTACAGCTCTGGCTGGTATGGTTCTATCATGCACTTTAAAGGCTCGGCATCCTTATGTCTTTTTAAGAGTTAAATCTCTTCGAGGGACATGAGACAGTGACATAAAATCCCTCCACCGTTAGACAGATTGCCCAGTATGGTAAAGTGTGTTGAGTGTTTTCTATAAGTGTACTTCCACAGGGAATAACCGCAGATGTTCAAGCGCTGCAGTCACCGACAAGGACTTTAAGAGGTTATACTGATTAAATTAGGACTTGAGTACACACAAAATTAACAGACACAAAACAACCACTCAGCGCATAGCATCAAAACGGGACCAGTCCATTTAGTAGCCAAGATGTAATGTTAGACATGTTTGCTACAAGTGTGACAAATTAACAGCAAGACGTGTAGCCAGAAGGTTGTGTGCATTCCCACTAATGAGAAGCAGCGCCAAAGAATAACTATCTGACCACAAGTCGGCACAACAAAGAGACCACATGTGTTAATACTCAGTTTTGACAGCGGTCACTCAAACATCCACCAGTCTCACTTCAGCGAGATCCATGCCAAGAAAAAGCAGGTGGCACTCGGCCAACACCGCAGCATGTTTCGAGGACCAGTATGATATGTGGTATCTTGGCCTTGAAGAAAAAGGAGCACCCAGCACTGTTATAGAATTTGTGGTTTGTACTTCTGTGTAGCTGCCCGGGTGCTTTGGTATCACAATGTGAGACACTGATACAATCCCACTGTTAACGATAACAGGCTGAGAGTGAATATAGAGAAATATAATACATTTCTGAGTTACATAATAAGCGTTACTAAGAGATACTACAGGGAAAACTAAAGCATTTGTACAATCCAGATTCATATCTGACCAGTATATGATATACACAGATTTCACCATCATGTTCTATAGTTTTGTAGTTTGATATACAGTATTCTGTAGTTGAAGGCAGCAAATTCCTGATGTTTGGTTCACTTGTCTGTTTAACACAACTCTCGATATAAAATGGGTGTTTGTCTAGCTAATGTGTCATGCACTGATTTATTGAGGAGAACCATCACCCGATTCAGTCCAGTAAAAGTTGCTCACTCACACATATGCTGAAACGCATTATGTTTTAGTTGGCTTCCTCATGCCTCTACATTTTTGGATGTCGTTGTACTGGTGCTTTTACTATTCACAAATGATGTCTGATGTTTTACGCACATCTTTTTATATAAAGGGCCAATGTAGTGAAACATTATGTGGGTAAGATCTTTCTTACTTGAGAAAAAAAGCAAAATGTGTGTAATATTTTTTTAAAAAAAAGATAAATTCTTGAGTAAAAGCTAAACAGCTGCTTCAATTATATTTATTTACAAAGTCTACATTCTGTAAAAACAGTATGTGAAGGAATGATGGCCTTGCTTGTGTTGCACCATATATTCCTCGATACAGGGGAAAGGAAAATATTTAAATCATATTTTGCCTTGAATTTATGCAGAGAGGGGAAAAAAACGTGTCCATCAACTGACTGAAAACAAAAATGAAAATTTCCTCTTTTTTTCCGATAATATCCCTCCACTCTTTCCTGGAGTGTTAAAATTGCCTCAAGAGAAATTTTTAAAAATTACAGGTTGAATACAACATGTGAATTTCAGCCCCTATGGTATAATCAAAGCCACAGGATTGGCACACAGCGGCACTGTACCATCGTATTTTACTGTGTCACTGGCATTCCTCTTCCAAACGCGATTGCTGCATATTCTTGTGAAATTAAAGTTATTAACAGAGAAAAATATTTTTACATCATTTGGAAATTCTTAGTAACATCCCAGCCACATGTTCTGGACAGAAATAATAACAATAATGACTGATTGTTTAAGAAAAAAAAAAATACTCTCAGCATCTAAGAATGCGCAGAGCTCACACTACTGAAGTGACAAGGCTTTCATCATAGTATCCAGACAGACATTCGACCTGAGCCAAGTCTGTCACCTAAATGGGCTAAAGTGTCGACCCCCTGTTTGGTCAAGACATCCAGCTGTGTAGTCCCTGTAATAACACTTCACTGGACACTTCCTGGACATCCCCTCAGACATGGTGCCATGACAACCGATACCAACACTGCTCAAACACAAACACACTTACACTTCTTGGATGCCTTAAACCCACCACATAGGGGATGCTGGGAGATCAAGACCCGGAGGCAGCGTAACTTTAAACTGGCTGGAGGACGGGTAGCATGAAGGAAATAGGTGGGAAATGCTTCTCCATGTGGGGTAGTATGCAATAAGATCCTTAGCTGGTAAAGTTACCCTTTAGATGAAGTATCCTCACCAAAGGTGAGCAGCGGCTTGGGAATGGGGGGATTGTGACTTGAGGGTGGTGTGAGAAGCCAAATCTCTACTACAACAGCTGCTGTTTATTCATCAGAGTTGGATTTTGGGGTGCTGTGGTTAGCATAACTGCAGCTGGTAATCAGCGCCAGCTGCAATTACAGACAAGTGTAAGTTATTTGTTTTAGTATTGTTGCAATCACAACATGCACAAGGATAATTCATTAGGAGATGCCTTCCAGGATTGCTTCACACTTATAGTTATGAGGATTTTCTAAAAAATTTAATATTGTTTCATGTCATGGTTGTGAAGCCTTTTGAGGATGTAATTAAGAGAACTGCAAATAAACTTTACTTGACATGTTATGGCCAGATAGACAAATTGGGGCAAATTTCTGCCACTACACTTCTACACATCCATTTAGTATCTATTAGCAAGAATTCAAAACAATAAAACCACAGAATTAGGGAACATTCCCAGCAGGACAGCCTGTGGGTAATATGATAACTACGATCAGCTGTAGACTGCAGTTACTGACAGCAACCTGGAATAAAACTTATCCATCAGCCATTCTTGTTGCGCGCCGAGGCGAGTGTGAGAGAATGGGCAAGTGCATTTGATGCCATATAGGCCTATCTGTCAGCAGAGGATTAGACTGTAGGCATTCCACATAGAAAGCCATCTCAAACCAATATAGCCTATTCCTCCTGTTACAGCCTCATGATTCTACTAAGGAACTGGAGTCGCTCACAGCCCCGCATAGGGGATGGGTGAGCTATTGTCCCATGCTGCGGCGCATCAGCTGCCTGCATTTACAGTTTACAGTCCAGAAGCATTGATGCCAACAATGCTACACGTTAGCAAGGCTCCAGCTGCACCAGCCAAGAATGCTAGCTAATCCGATCCCAACAATGCAAAAACCATTAGAGAAGTCAAGCTCAGCAATGTCCTTGGCTGCAGTTTTTCCACGCTTGGTTCATCACCCCTCAGTTGGTAAAGGAGGATTATCGTGGATGTGTGCGTGGCATTTTGCAAGGTCCTAAGATAAATGATCGGAATTGAAAAGGAGGAGACTTGCGTAAAGTCTTGCAATACATGGGTTTGGTTTCAGGAATGGGACTTTTTATGAAATCTCTGACAGCTGTGCTTTAACTAAAACAAAGTAGCTGAAAGTGATGTGAATTGACGTCTTTCAGGAACTGCATTTCACAGCACTTCTAGCTGTCTGAGATCATGATGCTAACTTCTAGTCTGCATGGGAATGCCCCTAAAACCACTGTTAGAACCAGAGACCAGTATACAAGCATTTTCCACCACAATGTCAGTTGTGAGCTCATAAGCTACAGTGAGCCTACAAACCAGACGTATCTGAAGATATCCTGATGGCAGTTTTAAAAAAAACAACAACAAAAAAAACAAAGACAACCAGACACATGCACAGCCACCTAAGCAGATTTACTGACACATAGACAGACAGACAAACACATACACAGAGGCATGATCCACACTGCAGGCAGCTGTCTCTAAACAAGTTAATATAGCAGGCTGTTTATGAGTGAGGCTGAAATTTAAGCCCGACACGAACACCCGGCTGGCACAGCCTTAATGAAATCTTGGGCTGGGGTGAAGGTAAGTTCAGTGGGCTCCTTGGCAATGTCATAACAAGTGCCTACTTTTCCTGTTAATTTTGTTTTGCAATCATAACCACAAAAGGATGCTCAGTAAGCTCAACTTAAACCTCTTACTTTAATTTAAGAGAAGTGCATAACTGCAGGTTTTTGAATGCACAGACCATAAAAAATAGATGTGACTTTAAAACAATCTGACCGTGACAGTGATGAAATAACAGTTACCACAGCAGCAGCAATCATCATATCCAGCCACAGCTTCACCTGTCAGAGCCAAGCAGAGCAGCAGCAGCTGTGCTAACAGCAGTGGCCGTGCACTGTCTGAGATCGGCCTTTTAAAATTAGTAATGAGCACTAAACGCATCATGTAAAGTATCACATCATCTCTCCTTTCCACAGTATCCGCCTTAACGGGCAGCGTATTACAACTGGAATGAAGCAACACTCGTGTTTATGGGTGACGGAAGAAATGCAAAACTTACTGTGAGGGAAAGCACAAGTACTGCAAAGTAATGCAAAATAAACTCTAAGTTAACAGAGTAAAGCAGAAGTAATCAAAAAAAAAAACCCAAAACTCTACTGTGACTTTCATATAGAGCTCCATAAATAAAGAGTAGCAATGTGTCCATAATATCAGGGTATGGTACAAGTGATTGACATCTATTGCCTGAAAGCTCCATGTTGTTCTTTTTAGAGTCGTTTACCAGAAATATTGATTAAGAGTTGTTAGCTTAAATAGAATTCAACCATTCAGTCATTAGTTCATTCACAATTTACCATTTTCAATGTGACTTAAAGGTTAGACTTGTGTTAAATGAAGCAGAGTGTCATTATCTGACATCTGTAAATTATTTTTCAGCATCAGGTTTGTCTATTTCAAGATTCAATTCTCCTTGAGTTTAAAATATTTAGAAACAAATGGCTGCCTTAAAGTTAGGAAAAAATCACACAAAAAATGAGAATAATCAGAACAGGTGCCTACAGATTGCAGGGCTGCAAACAAATTTTTTGTTTTAACATTAATCTATATCATGAAAATGTACAAAGCCATCCAACTACTTGTTTTACTGGATCAATGCTCAACTGCAAAAGTCAACTTTGCTATGACAAAAGTTAAAGAATAAAATCATAACATGATGGTTGTGTTCACATTAGACACATTAACATTTAGGGAAAAAGTACTTTTGCCAACACATGTGCTCAAATATAAGATGACTAAAAGTAAAATCCCACTCTCAGACTTCAGCTGTACTGCTCTGTGAAGATGCCGTATCTCCTTTGGGAATGAAACTACATTCTTTTCCATCTAGGTCCTTTTTTTTTGGAAGATTCAGACAGACACAAAGCAGTCATGCCACAGACATCTTGCACTCCCTGCACCCTTCTCCAGACCAGACACAGTTGTGTGTTGGGCCACGACACCTGTCAAATGATTCCTGGAGTCAGGTTCAGCATGACAGACATGGCCCACCACGGTGCCTCCGTCATATTCCGCATGGCCCGAGGGTAGCTGCTATATCTTCTCACCCCTGACAACATATGCTTACTATGGAGTGAATTTAAAACAGGAATTGGGAGGCACAGAAAAGAGCCAAAGACATCTTTATTAGTCTGAGTTTAGATTTGCAGACTTGCATAAATTGCACTCTACGTCTCCCTACTGTCCTGAGCTGGATTTTCGTAGCTGCACAAGTAATCTAATAAAATTTTTCTGGTATCAAATACGTAGACGTCCACCTTTGTTATGTCAGAGGGAGTGAATAGAAAATAATTTTCAGCAGTCACACCCACCAATGAGGGATAATTCCATTCTACTGAAATAAACTGGAAGAAAAATTCGTTCAACCTACTCTTGCATCTGGTGTCTCGAGATTTAAGTCTGGGCTCCTCACTGATCTGTGTACGACATACTTCTACTTTTGTCACAATTAAAAAAACAAAAACAAAACCTCTAGCCAAGCATATTGTTATGCCAGAATATTATAGTTACCACAGACACAGGTTGGTATATGTTTGAATTTGAAATAATTCAGTAACATTGTCTATGTTACATAGTTTGCCAAAAGTAAAATGTAGCCCTCAGCATATATCATGGTCACTGACTTCTTTTTTCTTTTCTTTTTTTTAAATATAAACTTATTTTAGGGATCCCTGTTGGTCCATGCAACACGTTGTAGTCTTTGTTCAATTTGTATCTTCAAAATGATTTCAAGAAAAAAGGGATTGTTTTTTTCTGATATATATATATATATCCATTTACACACTAAATATTTATTTTTTTCTTTCTGAGTTATGCACTAGTGGTTGGACCAGCGAGGCTCAGTGGCACAGCCATATTATGTAGCTTATTGTATAGCACAGCTGACCATCCCTCGAACCCATAAATGCTATGCACTGATAAAATGCAAGAGGCGGTATATTGACGATAACATTGTTCACCCTCTAGGCCAGTTGCAGGGGCGCAGGAAGGGAGGCGCACTAAAAAAGGTATTTCAAGGCTGCATCTATGTTTAATCTGAACAACAGCAACAACAATAGTTGTTGAAGCAACAAGCTACAGCCTGTACAGCTTCAGTCAATGAGCAATGTTTCCAAATGTTTAATAAATGTCTCAAATAGGGTAGCCAATGAATTACTGCATGATCAGATATACTAGATAAGTAATGCGACTCTGCTTCTGGGTCCATGTCTGGCTATAAACTCCCCAATGCTAACAGTACAGTCCATCCATCCATCCATTATCTATACACCGCTTAATCCTCACTAGGGTCGTGGACTCAGGGCGAAGACAGGGGACACTCTGGACAGGTCACCAGTCTATCACAGGGCTACACTTAGAGACAGACAACCAAGAACACTCACATTCACACCTATGGACAATTTAGAATCACCAATTAACCTCAACATGTTTTTGGACTGTGAAGCCGGAGAACCCGGAGAGAACCCACATTGCACGGGGAGAACATGTAAACTCCACGCAGAAAGATCCCAGGTGTCCTCACCGGGATGCAAACCAGCGAACAGTGCTAACCACCGAGCCACCTTGCAGTCCTAACCCAAATATGAGCAATAAACCATTAACTGAGACGCCATTATCCATCTGTGCAGGAATTAATAAAATAATGAACAGTGTATGTTTTAAACTAATTTTTAGTTGATTAATTTCAGTGATGGGAAACAAACAACAAACTGGATCATGTTACATGGAGCCCTAAAAAAAACAAAACTGTGTATATATGTAATGGGTTTAAGTAAAATTAAAAGTAAGTATTGGCTTGTATATCAATTTGAATTTTTTCAGACTCTTAAATATCTGCATCCGTCTATAAAATCCAGAACTGGGGCTCTAAAACATGAAGTGATTCATGATGCACATTGACACGAGGGTCAGAAACAGCACCAGTCCAGGAGCCTCTATAAAAATGTGAGTAGGATCCATACCAAACCTTTATGTGCAAGCAAAGGACAGGAATTGGGGTGCGCCAAAAATAATCTCATTCATAAAACTGTGTGCACGCACTTCTTCATGCAATCGTAAAAATAAATCATGTCCTCAACTTAATAAAGGGGAACATGTGGACAAACTTTATATTCTGCCCACCTCACTGTTACAATTAACCATAAATAATCAATGAAACAGCATCATTACTGATCTGCATATTGTTCCCTGAGGAAGATGACAGCGATGTTACACACAGAAGAACTTTTAAGAGGCTGACGACTGCTAACTCTGCAGTGAGTTTAACAAACAACGACAGTCTGACAGTTCCTGAATTAAAACAAAGTGGTCAGATGTGGAGATAGATGCCAAGAAGCGCATGGCTGCAGATGATTATCTGTTATCGCATACACGTCTGATGAAACCACAGACACTCAACATCTGGCAACAATTGAACAGTACATTTAAATCCACAACTGCACTGTACAAGGGCTTCCAAGATTTTTATAGTTGATGAGTGCAGGTCAAGGAGAGGTGCAGGATGAGACGGGTGGAGAAGGTGTGCTGCAGCTACCGTGATGTCTCCACTGTATTTGTGTCGTGCACCTTTACCCTTTAGCAGAATGAATTGGCGATTTGGGACAGAAAACTAATGTAAAGTCGCACTTGGTGACAAATGCACAGTAGTAATAAAATGTGTTACCATTTAGTAGTTTTGTATAAAGTTGATACAGCCTGATTTATATACATATAACTTATAAATAACTGAAGCTGATGCCATACTGAATCAGGACATTACGGGTGAACATGGAAACACAAGTTTGCTGTTTCAGAAGCTGCTGACTAAATTGATGCATCCTGGCATCCTTCCTTTTCAGCAGCACTATGATGCACTTGTCAACTGACTGCACAGGAGTGTGAGCTGCTTTGCACTATTCAGGACTGAGAATGTGGTGATAGAAGTTGATGGAAGTCAGCTGCTCATGGATGATAACTAATGGCTCAACAATAAATCACAGATGTAAATGGTTAAGATTGTAGTTTATGGTTTAGTTTAGTTTGCTTGTGTCTTATAAAATGGGCCGGTGTTTATGGAAGAACTGCAATCTTACTACAACTAAAAGCATCAGACACCAAAACTAGCCTGAATATGTTTAATAATGACTCAACAGCTTGGTATGAAGTGAAATTCAATGTACATTAGGGTCCACCATCTATAAAATGTGTGTACTCATGGGGAAAGGCTTTCTACCAAGCCTGTTTTTAAAAATCCCAACTTTTCTATAGGAAGGTGGTGTACACCTGTTTAGGGCCCCATTTGTGAGTACATGACAGTTATAAATGAGGCCCCAGCTCAGATCAAGTTCAAGTTCAAATCTCCCATTGCATAACGTTATAGCTGCTATACAGTGAGGACCGAAAATTCATCAAAACTTCTGTTTAAACTAAGAGCTAAATAAGTTATACCATCCATTTCTCTTACGTGAAAACTGTTTTTCATCACTTGCTTGCTTCTAAAGTGTGATCTAGGGTTTTAGATCACAGCACAGCCACGACGGTCTTCACAGAATGAAAGACGTGTGACCAAATTTGATCATTTCACTCAATGACACTAGATGTATTGCACTTATCTACACTGGGAAGTTCAGTCAGGATAATCAAATAAAAACATGTAAAAACATACCATTTAGATTTTGACAGACTTGTTGACTTGTTTATAGAACTGTTGCCACACTATATCTTTATATCACTGCTGTTATGGCTTGGATGTTTCTATCGGTTTTCCTTCACTGTTTACAATTGTGAGATTTTTATGAGCAATAAAACATCATTAAAAAGACTTACTGCTAAAGAAAATACCAGACCTACATCGGAAGGGCAGATATACATTGCACCCATGCTCCAGAGGTACTTGAGACCCATGTATGACAGGACGCTAACAGGAGGGGAGCTATGAAATCAGGCTGAATACATGCCGGAGGTGGGGGTGGGAGGGGGGATGTAGGGGCAGTCAAGAAAGGCTCTGGTGTCTGGCTATTTTCAGGTCCCCCTTCCTTGCGGGCCAGCAACAGTTGAAACCAGACAAGCATATGTATAAACACACTTCCATGTGCATGAATGCACGCACACATGCACGAACCCACTTCACACTTACATGGAACTCAGTGGTGTTGAGAATGTGACGTCCGTCTGGACTCCAGCGTGAGGAGACTAGTCCTATTGAGCCCTCATCAATCTTACAGTGCCAGTCTGGCTGTTCGAGAGACCACACCTGAAGAAAAAGACAGAAGAGAGAGTGACGGAGGGACAGCAATCAGCCATTATTGATGACATCCCTCACACTCGTCCTGTATCCTCCGCAACCTGATTTCCAACAGTAAGAAGCACCGAAAGTATCAGAAACCATGAAAGACTGGCGCTGGATACCCCTTCAAAGGTAAGCTACTTGCACTATGGTGCACAGGAAATTATACAAGAATGAAAAAAATCTGTCACCATTGTAATAATAAATGACTACAAGTTCTGTTATTAAGCACATTTTTTTAAAGATGAAAGTTAATTCAAAAGTACAACTTATCCTTCCATAAATCAGAACAAATAGGACGATTTTTATATTTTTGAGCCTTCTAAAATAAACAGGATCCATAGCAAAAAAAAAAGGCACAGGAGAAAGTAACAGCATGGTTGTGGAATAATAGAGTAATCAAATGACAAACAGTGAACAGTGACAAACATCCTTTATTCAGGTAAAGGATGAGAACTCTGAGGGCTGAAACACCTAATTTCTCCTTTATTGCTGTGTTCAATGCTGAATTTCATTTGAAGCAGTAGCCTCTGGCTCTGAGATTTTTTATGTGCACTTCTTTACATCATGTGATAGATCAGCATATTTAACCAAAGTACTGCCAATAACAACATATACACATATGTGACCTGTTTAAATGAGTACCTACACTTAAGTACCCTGTGAGATTTATTCATATAGAACAAAATCTAAAGCTTGAAAAAGCTTGAAGGTGCATTAATAATTTAGTATTTTTCCTCAATCCAAGTGGCTTCACAGTGTTTCAAAGTGATGTTCATGATGCTGGGGAAAATTTTAAAGAATAACCCAAAATAGTAACTTTGCCATTTATCAAATAAGAATCAAATATGATTGTGACTTGACTTTTCTAAAATATCAACACAGTATTAAAGAAATACTTGCTCAATACTTACTCAAACTTAAAACACCAACAGTGAGGATATAGATTATTTGTTATTTTTGTATTTTGTTAAATCGTTTCTCAATTGGGAGGATTGTGGTGGATTACTGCCATTATGAAAAATTGCCTTTAAATAATTTGTTGAAATAAATTCAGCAATGCATCATTCAGTATTAGATTTAGAATTATACTCTATGAAGTGTTTTGTGGCATTCAAAAAGAAAATCAATTGGATCACCACAAAGCCGTAAATTAGCAGACTGATCACCTGCTTTTACACCACATGCTAAGTCTGTCCTGAGTCTGTTTTCATAACCTACCTGCACCAGTCCTCTGTTGTACATAGCACAGAGAATAAATAGAGAGTCAGAAGACCACTCCATGTGAGATACTTGGTCCAGGCATGTGTAGAGCTGCAATATCTGCAAGGTGCTCACGTCTCGCACCACCAGTCTGTACTGCACACAGGTAGCCTGAGGAATGCAACCAGCGAGAAAAATCAGACGAGAAAAAAAGACAAAACCTACTCCACTTTTATCCGTGTGTAACTTCTATTTAGAAAGTATTATTTCTGCTTCATTACACCAAAACTACAATACAGAATACAGAAAGCTCTCATTGTCAAGTGAGCTCGCACACACAAGGAATTTGACGTGGTGAATGAAACTGTGGTACACAACAATAACAAGACAGGTAATAAATATAGAAATCTAAATCTAAACAGATTCTAAATAAAATATTATATGTAAAAGAAAAGTATAAAAGTACTAAGTAAATAAAAAGTACTGTAAAAAAAAAAAAAAAGAGAGAGACATAAACTTGCCTAAACCACAACAATAAACTAGAAAACGGTTTAAATTATAATATTGCACATGAAATTGAAGAATTGCACTTGTAAAGATATTGCACAGAGGTAGTGTCACAGGAGTCTGGAGCAACCGCTTACCAAATACTTTCCATCTGGGGAAACTTTGCAAAGTTGGTTGGTTTGCTTGAAGACTTCAGAGAAATTCATCTTCCAATCACAACTGTTCCTACACGAGAGGAAAAAAATAACCACAAATCTGTTTCTGGAAATATTTAACTGAATGGCCCAGATGTAGTTTCCAAATGTAAACACGTGATGGCGCCATACGACCAACAAATAAACACATTTCACACTAGAGGACAAACTGAACAAACAAACACACAAAATCAGTTTCTATCAACAGAATGGGTTACTACGGAGGTAAACGGCATTCAGTCAGTGTGAGAACATAACGCCAGCAGAGAAAAGAAGCAACAAGTAGCTAACTTAAGTTAGCTTAGCAAGAGCTGACTCGCTATTGCAATAAGTAACTGGAGCAAATAAACAAAAAAAAACGTCCATTGGCAGTTTCTCCTCTTAAATTCAACACGTCTAACCAGTGCACATGTACAAGCGAACACTTTAGGCTAACGGCAAACTTAGCTGCTCAGCTAACTGTCACTGGGCTCACCGCTAGCATACAGCGCTACCAGCAACTTAGCAGGTGACGTTAGCAACCCGTCAAAATCTTCACCAGTAGAGGCAACACTTACTTCTAACGTCAATTGTGCTGTTGTGTCGACTAAATGGGAGACTCGAAAAGTCCCACGAGCCATTCAGAGAGCGGTTTTCCTCCGCATGACTGTCTTCAGGGTGCAAACACTGTTCATCTAACTGTTGCTACTTTGTTTGTATGAACGCATGACGACGTACCGGTGCTGTCCAATCAGCGGCTGTGTCTGGCGCCTTGCATTTTGGGAAATGTCGTTTACTATCCTGTTGGCTTTGTGCGTGTGTTAGATTGTGTGTGTCCACCAAGTTAGTACAAACCTATAGGCAAAAATGTTTTTTGTTTGTTATTTATTTACATGTTAATTAGCTTGGATGTTATTCAGTGATATGTATTTGGGATATTTTAATATATTTTCCATAATCTATATTTTATTCCCTTCACACCTTTCATTCTTGATCATTTTATGGGCTTTGATAAATTCACACAAACTTGTCTTGTAGTCTAAAGACACAACAATTCAATTAGTATTTAAATCCCCCACTTTTTTCCCCCTCTACTGAGAGGAAAAAAGGTTTCCCGCTTGTGTGCGGACAATCCGCGCTTCCGCCTCCCTGCTCCTCAAAGCGCAAAAAACGCTTCACCTCCTCCTCGGTCTCCCTCAGCAAAGCTCACACTTCTCTGAATAGCATGCAAATCAGTTTGTCTCCTTTTTCCTTGTGCTTAATTTTTGCTGCTTCTCCGAAAAGTCAATAATCTCCAGACACTGTTATCATAACTAAATCCGGTCGATTTTGTTGTTTTATTTTTTCCTCCCTCTTGTTGCTATTTTTATGGAGGGTCACTCTCTTGGCATGTTCGATAATAAACAGACAGGTGTTCGGCGCAGCATAATTCCTGGGAGTTTGGATTGGAATAAGAATAACCTTCAGGTACGTCTATTTATGCTTCATATACGAGCGTATACATTTAGATATCAACTTGAATGTTTCACTCATCAACAGGCCCACCAGGTTTTTTCTGTATTTGTTTTGCAAAATGTGACAAATAGTTTAGCGACGTTTTAAAACGAGGCTGTTGATCAGAGAGCCTGAGCTGTCTGGATAAATGACAAAGCCTGGGTAAGACTGCAAACATTTTAGAATTCCTTACAATAAAATCTATCTTGTGCATTTGAATCTGCATTCGGTAATGGTTTGTTAAATGTCTGTTTTGTAGGATATAACACAAAATAGGCCGAATAAAAATAAAAATAGAAATGTATTATCTAGGCAACATAAAAACGTAGACCTTATAAATAAACCCTGCAGTAGACATTTGCAAAAATTGTCTCTTTTTTGATTTTTTTTTTTAATATAACAAAATCTTTAAATTATTTTTTAAATGTTCATTAAAATTCTTTAAAGGTTGAGCCATTAATATTACTTTTGCTAAAACACGACTCAGTATTTTATTAAGATACTGATATTACTTTAGTAAATTTCCATGTGGACTTCTAGAAATAGCGAGTAACACCCAGATATGAACCTCCATCATCAACCCTTTGAATCCTCATATGAAATATTTCACTCGGGCCTGGGGAGGATCGAATCTAAAGTTTTTTTAAAAAAATTAATTTCTTCTCAGTTGGGACTGTGTCGCCTATTTTCTTGCATAAATTGTCCCTTGGGAAGGCGTTGTGCTTGTATGTGTGTTGTCATGGGTGCTGTAACCCGGGAGTGGAGACACAAAATAAATACAGGTGTATATCACAGAATGTCATATTTAAAAGGAAGGTGCGACGTTTAGACAAAGAACCGGCAGAGGCCACACAGGCGTAGATCATTGCATAAAATACTAAAAGGAGGGGATTTTAATGGTAATAAATCCAGATTTAACTAGAAATAAATGTGTTTCCTTAAATGTTAGACCCAATTAACTGTCTCATACGATTTTAGTTTAAATATTAATAGTTGCAATCAATTTGAAATGATGTCACAAACATGTTTCTATCTACATATCAATATTTCAGCATTTTCGTTGACAGTATTTGGGCCCATAGTACAATTACGCATGTTCTGCATTTCATCAGTGCCCGAAAATAATTATATATCCCCACCCTTATTGAGAAAAGGGTTCTGTATATGTATGAGTCTATAACAGATAACACAAGTGAAGCAATAAGCTGCTTCCCTGCGGTGCAGCCGTAAGTGAAAAGGTGCTCCGTGTCCAGGTGGAATCCCAATTAAGCAGCTCAAAAGTGCGGCGCAGAGCTGCGAGTCCAGCCCGCTGTCTGCTCCTCTGCTCGTCCTGCAGCGACACCTCGTCAGATCCCCTGTGCAAACACACGAACTGATCTGGGATCTGACGAGGGGACGAGGTGGGAGCTGCTTTCTGAGGCGGCAGACACCCTGGGAACAGCGGGAAACTGCAGCTGCTGCGGAGCTTTGCAGTTCCAAATGATGAATGCGCAACGTAAGCGTAATGCGGGACTCTCCAACGTGTTTATTCAGTCTGATTTTTTTATGGCATGCCCTTTGGCTCACGTAGTATGAGGGAAAAGTTTATCAGGGAAACGTAACAGCCACAAGATCAGAAAAAAAACAGCCTTTGTTCAGCTGTCATGACATCACCTCAGATGTTTACTGGACTCTTCAATCGATCCAGTGCAGACCAAAGTAAAAATACTCCTGTTGCGCAAAGATAGTGTTACTGTAAATGTGGAACTTAAGTTCACTTTTTTTTTTTGTTTTCTTTATTTGGAGAATTTTCACTCCACATCTGCAGCCACTTCACCACTAATAACGGTTATTTATTTGTTGCAGTGTGCACCTTTGCCACAGTTTTTCTTGCGCACAGGGGTTACTAAGGAGATGTGACGCCGCTGTAGTGCGCAGCTGTGAATATAACCTAATAAATACGACTAAAAATGCGCGACAGGACTTTGGGCCTGATGTGAGCATCAGCTTATCAAACTGCAGGCCAAATGGAAACACAGGAGATCCACTTTATCACCTTTCGCGGTAGGCCTGCTGAGCTTCTCTTTAAAGTTGTTACAAATACGGATTTGTTTGACAGCTTGACATATTTTTACGCAGCCTCTGTTTTCTTTACAACGATGCCCGGATGTCGCCTTTGTCGGTTTCTTAACTTTCTAAACTGTCAAATGCACTTTTTTTTATTTTTTTTAATCATTATTTACCTGCAACAGTGCAAATTGCAGAGGCCGCTTGGTTTAAACAGCCACAGCTCATATAACTCATGCGCACTCGGTTCCATCAGCAGATCTGTCGTTTGCTTCGGTAGGCGCGTCACGGTGTCTGTACACATTTTAGAGTTGTAGTGCGGGCGTTATTTTGAGACAGAGGCGGAGCATGTGGTGTTCAGACATCGAGGAGGAGAAGCTTCCCCTCGGAGTGAGACGGTGATGATTCAGGCAGGTCTGGGCACGTCCAGGCCCCCCTGACACCTTGTGCCACCTTGCTGGGACTACATTAGTGTGATCACACCTGGATGGATGTGTGTGTGTGTGTGTGTGTGTGTTTTCAACTTCTTCCTCGCTCTCTTTTCTTTTCTTACATTGATAAAAATGACTATGTGATGGGAATTAGTAGCGTGTTTGGACTTGTGGCTTTTTAAACAACATAAGGCTGTTTTTCACTGTCATTGGTTGTATGATTTTCATTTTGCATCCTGATTTTACAGAATATTTAGAAATAATCCAAAACCTATGTGTGTGTGTGGATGTGTGTGTGTGTGTGTGTGTGTGTGGTCTGCAGAGTGATCTGTCCCTCACCAGACTACCCATCCTCTAAGATGTCCCAGTCCACAGTTACTGAAGAAGGAGGCACCTTCGAGCACCTGTGGAGTTCCTTGTGAGTGTCAACAACACCTGCTCATGCTTCCCATCATATTTTCCAAATTACGTAATGGTTTTCTGAAAAGAAAAAAAGAAAAAAAAAGCGTGACATATATCAGAGGGTAATTCCATAATGTATATTCTGCACATTGCATATTCCAAATATTTCTTCTTTCTCAGTACTTCTGCGAAAAACTGCTGAAGTGTTTTATGCTAAGTGTCAGATGGGGGTTCTTGGATCAATAAAGTATCTATCTATCTATCTATCTATCTATCTATCTATCTATCTATCTATCTATCTATCTATCTATCTATCTAAAACACATGTTCTGTTATAACCTAGCAGGCTATTTTATGAGCACATTTGGATAGGAGTGTTCCTAACATCAAACACATTTAGAGTTTGCTTAATTTTAACACCAGCAGTTTGCGTTAAACGTATGGGACTGCAATGTTTTGTCTTCATCAGAAACACAAAGATGAATAGTTATGTGCCAAATATGCACCACTTAAAGCTCATCTAACAAAAGACTTTCTTTGCACCAGTTTCTCTGTTGTATGACCCAAAGACACACTTATACTGCCTTCGTTTTTTTGAAAACTGCACCCATTTTTAATGCTTCTTTTAACCTATGGCATTTTGTCTTTACAGGGAGCCAGACAGCACCTACTTCGAACTCCCCCCAAACACCCAGCCAGGTGAACACCCAGTGCCTTCTACCAGCACCCCGGGGAACCACCACAACACTGAGGTGTCCATGGACGTCTACCACATGAGAGACATGAACGACAACGTGATGGTAAGAAAATGAGCTCGTGTTGCACATTGTGGTCAAGTTTTGGCTGTCTTTCTAAGAAGCTGGAGGGTTTTTCTTCCTAGTGCCAGATTTGCTTGTTTATCTGAGAGAGCACACACACACACACACACACACACACACACACACACACGTTTTGACTTTTTCCCTCCAGTGCTGAGGAGATTCCCTCCTATGTAGTTTCCCTCTCCTCTGCAGCTCTTTCCCTCTCTGCATCTCCCTGCTGAGCAGCCTGTGGGGACTGTTGGGTGGTTGTGCATGTGTTGGGGGAGGACTCGTTAAATCCCAGGCTCGGACCCCTTGCTGCTCCACTGTAGAGCCATCTGTAGGTCGGGGTGTGTTTGTGTGTTTGCATTAACTGAATTGCATCTGCTGAACTTCACAATCTACAGAAAGAATGTGTTCCTTTTATGAATGAAGCAAAAATAGGTTTCAGCTCTACCAGAGACTGAATAGCAGTTTTCTTATTTAACACAGGTTTGACAGCTTTTGTAGAACCGCGCTGATGTGCACGGTTCATCCTGCACATTTTCTCACTCTGTCAATTTTTCTCTTTCAAATGTGAAAAATTAGAAATCACTCCAACCACACCTACGTTTCCTTTTCCTCCTGATCTGGAATATTGGTTAGATCTAATCTTTAACAGGGCAAGCCTGGGCCTGCCTGACTGACTGACAGAAAAAAAAAAGGAGGCGGAGCAAGGATTTGTTGTTAGATGCAAGTCATGTAGAGAAGGCCCAGTAGAGCAAAGAGGAAACAGGTGGAGGAGAATAGAGGCAGGACGTCTCTCATGTCCTCCATCATGTCCTGTTCCACAGTGGGGTTACCTGGCCATGGAGAACTCGACCGGTACAGTCACACTTAAGTCCTATGAGAGCCGAGTCAGAGAGACATCGTAGAAACACATATTTTTCAGGAGCCTTAAGATGCTATGTGATGTGGTAAGTGGACATAAGGTTAATGTTCTGGTTTATTCAGAAGGTTTTTTTTTGTTGTTGGAAATGTGTATTTTGCTGTTGTGTTAGTGGAGAAGTTCTTGTATTTAATATTGACATCGAGTCACTTTTTTCAAATTGGTGGCAGTTAACCAGGTGGAAGAGTGAATCTGGATTTGCTCATGATTCATCGCGCTGTTTGTGGTCATGGTTAGATGTGAGCATGTGTGTTCAGGATTCAAAGCGTTGGTTATGCATATTCTTTTGTGATGGGGATAGTTTTATCACTGTTGCATTAACAGGCCGAATTCGTTTGAAAGGTTGGATGATGAGGCAGAGGCTTCAAACTCTCACACACTGACATGAGTTGAACTAACTAATTATTAAGTACTTTTTTACGATGATTTATCACTTCTGACCTAAAATTTAATACATATTCTACAGGTTGATGTGAAAATGAATGACATATCCCAATCCTGCTCATGCACTTTGCCACATTTTCCCAACAGGGGGCAGCCTTCTTACACATCACTCCACATTTTTACCTTCCCTCATCCTCACCTCTATTTAACATAGCGGGCGTCGTTTAGACATGCTTCTCATCTCATATAATGTCGTGCCAGTCGCCTACAGAGGTCAGCTTTTTCATTTTGGTACCACTGTTTACCAATTTGAAGTGGGCCATATGAGAAAATGAGATTTTAACTGAGATAAAAGTGGCCGCGCTGGTTAATATAACTACAGAGTTCATTGTAATAAGTGGCTGTGAAAACAGGTCATTAGACGGGTGATAGTCTCTTCATCCTCAGCCTATCATGTTTCACTCATCTGGGTAAGTGAATGTTGCTGCAGCGGGCTTATCTGCATTTCTAAATGTTTTCAGCCTTTAGAACTTGACTTTGAGTGGCAGCTACCAGGATGGCTGCCCATAGGGGACGTGAGATGCTGCTGAGATGGGAAGCGTAAACAGTTACACACAGTGAGCAAACACATAGACTCACACACACACACACACACACTCACACACTCGCTCACACAGTGGCAGTGGAGGTTTTAGCTCTGTTTCAACTTGTTGCGGTTTGAGTTCAGGTATTAAGACCAAGCACACCTGTGATGTGCATGCATATGTCTGCGTGTGTGTGTGTGTGTGTGTGTGTGTGTGTGTCAAGTGTTTTCTGTTGTTGACACATACACCTGGGCTTCTCTTGTGTCTGTAAAGCCCCTTTGATAATAACCGTTAGAGGAAGATTTCAAAGGTAACAAAAAGTCAGAAATCAGAGGGAAGTCAGTGACTGTTTTAACACCATTCATTAAAAAACAACGAACATCAGATCTCATCAGTGTTGATACCAGTGAAGATGTCTTTGTCCAAGCAAATGTGCTAATTTCTACGACCAGAAATGAGACATTTAAGACACTTGACGTGCATGTCTAGAAAGTAAACTGCATTATTTGTTCTGAACCCTGCTGTATGATGTGCTGTGTATACCTGAATTAGATTAGAATGTATGGATCCACAGAGCGGCGCATGCGTGCATCCTTATTTCACCTACATAGTTTGCATTAAGTCCTGGACATTGACCTGTGCCTTTAGCTTTCATCTGTTGAACCATGTCACAGAAACAGGTTTACATATCCTTGTGCAACGTTTTTGTGTCTGTGTCAGTTGTGAGCATCTGAGGTCAAAAACACAAAGTAGTCCCCATATGAGGTGATGCTGTGGACTTTTTTTTTTTTTTTTTTACACAAAAAGGTATAGGTGAACGTTACAAGAGGAAAAAATAAAAGGAAGAGAAATTTCAACTCCTTCAGTCTAAATGAACATAAGCTGTGATCATACAGACTTTTAGCTGACACTTAGGTTTCACCATCATTTATAAAGAGTTATAAAGAGAATAAAAATCATCTATTTATATCTATGTGATATATTTATGCATTTTCCTTAACCCTTCTATTACCTTTGGGGCCAATTTGACCCTATTCAATGTTTAACATCTCTCAATAAGTCGTTGGCATATTTTTTTTCAGTTTTATTTAAAGGCCTTTTTACACATAAACTTGGGTAACAATTTTATTTATGATATTTTCTGGAGGTTTAAATTGCTGGGGTCAAATTGAACCCAACGATAAAAGATGTCAGTAAATTTGAAGGTAATAGGAGGGTTAATTGAATTAATTTTGTTACCAACTGAGTCACAAGTGAACATGATCAAAAACATCTTTCCAAACCATATTATTGCTCCTGACAAAGTGTTTGCAAATCTGATTTTTAAAATTGGAATTTTCTATGCACAAATTAAACATTGGCCTCTTTAGCTCCCTCCTCCTGATGATATGGACTTTAGATTAAAACACCTTAGCTTGGGTTTAAAACATCCACAAAGTCTCCAGAATACCAATTTCCATTCTGTGTTAATGATTTCTTTCAAGGCTTCCGAACTTTTGAAGAGTCTGTTTTTAAGAACATTCAGCCCCAACTGCTGATTTAATGTATTGATGTGCAGCGCTGAGTGGTGAGGGGGTCTGACCCTTGAACTCTTGTTCTTTCATCTGTTTTCCTTCTTGCCCTTCTCTCTCTCTCTCCCTCTCCCTCTCTCTCTCTATCTCTCTCCCTCTGTCAGACCAGACAGTGTTTACTTAGTGCAGGCCTTCACAAGGTGTTTCGGAGCGTGTGCGTACATGCGCCCCAGCATTGCCGTCTATGTCTGGGCATGCCATAATTAGAATGTCGTACCATTTTTTGGGTTCCCATCCCTCCTTTCAGTCTCTGCTCCTCTCCCCTCGTCTCAGTCTGTCGTTTCTCTCTCCTCACACCAGTCCCTCACCTTTCTGTCCTGGCAGCACATGTGTCAGTTGGTGAGAGTGTGTGGCGTGTCCACTGATGAACACCTTGCTTGAACTCTGTGGTTAGGCAATGGTCCTGCACTCTCTTTGCTTTGCTGTGTTTGGACGTTTGACTGAATGAAGATTTGCCAAATGAGACCTAAGCACTAGAGGATGTACTACGTGAAGAAGAAGGTAAAGACTTTGTTTTTGTCTGCTCTTTGGGTTCTTGAATATGCGTGCAACACAGTGGCTACTTCAGTGTGTCATCAGTGTCAGTTATATGAAACTGATAAAATTTGGGAATATATGTTTTTTTTATATTAATAATCTGGATTATTCCTGTTATCATTCATCCATTTTTCTTGTTCAGTTTCAATCAACTGGTGTCTTCTTGGTTGTGCTCACTGCTGTTCAGAGAAAGTAACTGTCTGGTGTTGATGAGCAGCCTCTAGACAGGTGGACTATAGTCGGCTGTGTATGTTCTCTGACTTTGCTGTGTTGAAGTTCACATAAAGTAACATAAAATCACACAATAAGTTTTCCTTCTGCAATAGCTTTTAAGTTTGTGTGCAACTACACAGGCCTCACAGAAAACGTTAACTTTTGACAAGTGTGTCAAGCATCAAATCCTCCCGCTTCTCAAACACACCAGAGAAGAAGAAGAAGAGGGAAAAAAAAAAAAAATCGGGAATGGCAGGCAATTAGGCAGAGCACAGATTACGCTTGTGTTTTACAACTTGCCTCACATAGCCCCGAGGAAGCTACTGTGGCGACCTCATTGTAACTGCCACTCAGTTATTCTCATTCGCTCACAGACAAACACACACAAGTTTGCGTCCCCGCACTTGTTGATTGTTACTTTTCACGTGTAAATAATTAAAAACGTGTCCAGCATCGATCATGGACACCTACCTTAGACAGGTACACATTTACCCACAGACATGCAAGCATCACACACACACTATACCCACAACTGTCTCTTCCCGGTGTAATCCGACCTCCCTTTAAGCTTCCAAGCCCCTGTCTCTCTGGCACCTCTACCTGTGTCCTCCCTCCGTCTCTCTCCTCCCTCCCTCTTCGCCTCCTTCATTCTCTTCCCTCTTCGTTTCTCCCCAGTCCCAGTACAACTTGCTGAGCAGCAGCATGGAGAGCCTGGGGAGCCGTGCGACGTCCGCCAGCCCCTACAGCTCCGAGAACGCCTCTTCGTCGGCCGTGCCCACCCCCTCGCCCTACTCCCAGCCCAACTCCACCTTTGAGGGCCTGTCGCCTGCCCCGGCCATCCCTTCCAACACCGACTATCCCGGGCCGCACGCCTTCCAAGTGTCCTTTCAGCAGTCCAGCACCGCCAAGTCTGCCACATGGACCGTGAGTACACACACTTTTGTGGCTTTGACGTGCAGTGATGTGCGTGCGCGCTTCAGCGTGTTCCTCTGTCTTGTTCTTTCTCTCTTTCGAGCTGTCTTTTTCCTTTCTAAGTGACTCCTTTGCACACACATAAACATGCGCACAAAGACACTCTTTCACACGCTCACTCAAGCCAGCACATGTGCAGGCGTGCAGCGTGCAAGCGAAAGCGGTGCACGATTCAGTGATTCACCTTGTCCACTACTCACCTCTTTCAGTTAAATCTGTGTTGTGTGTATCCTGAAGGCAACACAGAAAGTTTGTCAGTCTTTGGCAACTTTTTTGAAACATTTTGCCCTGTCTGCGGTGGTCTTTTTAGGCAGTTTTAGGAATCAAATGCGTGCAAAAAGTGAATTATTGGAGGTAGTTTTAGGCACATGATTCAATATCAGTTTGAGAAGTTATATTTTGAGGTTAACCTGGTTTATGTACACATCTGTAGTGCTTTACTGAAACATAATACTGCACTGCAATATCACAAATATTCAGTTTTAATTTATATAGGATCCATTAGTTTTTTCTGTCATTTTTATAGCAGCTTGACTACTGGCATGTGTTTTTAGCTTCAGTGGCATACACGTGGTAAAAAGAAATTTCCGACAGGTACAAGACACCGCGGCTACATGTATTTAAAACGTAATGGTTAAAAAATAGCAGCAGTAGTAGTCGTATTAAGACTTAGTGGGAACTTAACGCATGGAATTTACATAGGAATTTAACAAACCTAATGAATACAAAACACGCAGCTACCGTGTGATGTGATGGTGCTGAGAGACAGGTGAAACGGGAGCTGTGTGATTTGTCATGACCCGGTGAGAAGTCTGCTGCCTAAAAAGGTGTCACCCCTGACTGTCACACAGTTGACCTCCCTGAAACAAGGGAAACAAGAGACAAACTGCGCTTCCTTCACTGTGTGTGTGTGTGTGTGTGTGTGTGTGTGTGTGCGCGATCAGGCCTGTGAGTGTCTCCATATGATAAACTGAGGTCCTCCACGGCTGTGTTTGCTGGGACTAACCATGCGTGGTGGGCTCCTTTACTCAGCCCTCGGTGATGTAAGAAGATCCCCCTCTGGACATTAGAGCGGTGGTCTTTGACCTGCTGCTTTTCTTCCTCTGTCTCTTTCTTCCTGTGGTCTTAGCACACACTCACGGCTGTCACCTCTGGCGCCTAAAGTTTCTCCCTGCCCTCTCCTAAAATATGTCCATCATCCTCTTTGTCTCACTTCCATTCTTCGGCTCAGATCTTTTCTCTTAAGTTCACTGACACCAAGCAAAACAAGGACAAAAATGAGTTTGGCTGACCTGAGAAGTTGCTGCAGTGAAATGAAATCCTAAAATATGGTAGAAACCTGTTTCAACCTGTTTGGTTTAATGTGAAACTTATTGCACTGCTATTCCAATTAACTTGTCTTATTCTTCCTGATGTCCCATTAGTTTACAGTTTGGAATATTTCTCATAACTTCACTAAAAATATACTTAAAATCAGAGGAGCCTGATAATCCCCAAATACTGTTACTTCGGATTTAAGAAAACCTACAAAACAGATCTTCGGTCTTTACAATAAATGGCTTACATTGGCTTGGGTAATAAGAAAGTTTTAATATTTCCTGCCTGAACAATTCCTGTCAGAGCATTTTTAATGTATTTTTTTTTGTATGTAGAAGAAACAAAGGAGTGTTTGACTGGCACACGACTTAAGATACAGATGATGAGCCAGCAGAAAAGGGATTGTGAGGAAACCTGTGATTATTCGGATGCCTCTGCTGCCATTAAACAGGAGGGATTAGAATGAGAGAGAGACCTGGTGATTGCTCATTGCTTTCATGGGGTTTACTGTAATGCTTTGTTTTATCTCACATGCCTGATTATAAGATTGGCAAAGTATAGGAACGTGCATTTAAGTGTTATTACATAGTAGCTATGGAAAAACAAAGACTCCATCAGTGAAACGATGCCGTATGATACTGCATGATCGTATACTATATGATACTGTTGATCGCATTACAGTACATCATGCAGTACATCAGCAGTACAGAATATTCCATTAAAACATTACCTTAAAATACCGGCCGTTTAAAAAAATTCCTGCTTAAAATGACAACGTGCGGCAGTTTATTCAAGTTTTACAGAAAGAAAAGCAACACAACTAAGTGTACAGATATGTTTTGTCAAGCTAGTGGCAAAATGCTGTTTGAGGGCTCAGATCATGTCGGTGAGTTGATTTATAAGTGCTAGATTTGAAAAGGAAAGAGATTATGGTCAAGCCTCTCGGAATGAATACGTTTCTGCTAATGGCAGGGGATTGCCCAAAAATAACACCAGGGTTGCACGAGGATTTGTGTGTGTGTCTAATGTGCATACACTTATGGGTGTGTATTTATGCCAAATTCAGTAAAATGTGCAGGTTTAAACACGTTTGGAAAAAAGCTATGACTATGTGGTCCAGACTGAGTCACCTAGTTTGAATGTAGTGAACAGCCTCTGGGTTTCACGCTAAATCCGTGTAGCTTCAAGCAATGGGGAATGCCAAATGCAATAGGGGCACATTGACTATAATCAGTTGCCTGGCCGACCCCCTTCCCACCCTTCTGCCTCCCACTAAGAGAGGGTGGCATGCATTGCTCTGGGAGATTACGAGAAAGGCAGCTGCATGTTGCATCAAGCAATTCTCACTAAATCCCAACTTCTCAAGTTGTCAGTTGCATTATTGACAAAAAGCTTTGGTTTGTGGCATCATACAACTGGCCACCAAGTCAGGCCAGAGAAGAGAAGAGAAGAGAAGAGAAGAGAAGAGAAGAGAAGAGAAGAGAAGAGAAGAGAAGAGAAGAGAAACAATCCTTTTTTTTTCTCGCATCCATCATAGTATTTCAACATAGAGTAAGTCCACGTTAAGCCAGTCTGCTAATCCCCCCTTGTCTAGTCAAGACACTGTGCATTAGTGATAATAGCTCTGAAACTCTGCTGCTGCTCTCTTGCCCCTTGAAGATGATTCCTTGGCTTGAATGCAGGCAAGCGTCACCATGGCTGGAAATGAGATCTAACACCTCAGCATTGTTAAATAGTAAGACCTCTTCCATACACTCAGATTTTAGTTTATATAT